GGAGTTGAAATAGTCACGTACTGCAATATTGAACAGTTCTGCATCATTGGAAGGTCTGAGAGAGAGCCTTTTAACGATGAGATTCTTTTAAAATTATTGTCTTTTTGTTTATAATAGGTGACGATTATAATTTGAATTAAATTAAAACTCTGGATTATGTGCTTCTAGACTTGCTTCCCCGTTCTCTTCTTATGTTGTGTGATCTTTCATCTTGCTTCTTGTGTGAAGAAACTTTTTATCTCTGCACCATTTTGCACCCATCATGTGTAATTGAATAAAATGGTCTCTTTTTCCATCCATTTTCACTTTCTTCTCTACCTGAAACCTTCTCAGAGTAGTTCGAATCGAGTTCCTGTCACATCAGTTGCTCCCTCCAGTGCATCTATTACTGGCACGTGCCAGTTCATAAGTCTATTATTCTTGTCAGGATGTCAGAAAAATACACATTAGTTTTTATGTAAGTGGTGTGCTGATTTGGCTGGCCACCACCATCCTGTATTCGCATCCTTGAAGTCTATTTAAAATTTTAACAAAGAAAGGTTGACTTTGCAAATAAGGAAAAAATGGAGAAAAGCGATTATAAGATGAACAAATTATTTTTGATATATCATATTGACATATGTAGACAAAAGCTATTTTCCCATAAAGAAATAATACTAATGACATGGGCACAACATCAGGAATGCATGGTTCCTACTTTGTACAAATTGGTATGTATTAATTAATTTATCGATGGTAGTTTTGAACTGCACTTATTCCTCTTATCTATATGCATTACCAGTGGTAATATACAATGGCACTGTTCTGGAAAACTGTTTTCTAAATAGTCAAGAATTTACCTTTTTGGGTATAAAAACTGCGTTATCCTTCTCAAATGTATTATATATTTAATTGTTTTCCTGAAATAAAAATGTTCAATGTAAATTGACCATTTTTGTTCATTCACAGTTAATGTATAAGATCAATTGATACTGAACATTAAATTACTCACTTTGTTTATGGAATCCGTAGTAGATATTAAAAACTGTCAAACTCTAAAGAAGTAGCTCAGTATAATACAAGGAGTTTTGTGGCTTGTTTGTGTTTAATAGCCAGAGCTTACTGTGTTTTATTATTTATTATTTTTTATTATTTTTTTGGTACTGGGGATTGAACTTGGGTTCCTGCACTTGCAAGGCAGGTAACCACTGAGCTAAATCCCCGGCCCCTTCCTGTGTTTTAAAACGTTTTGTTTCAGACCTTCTTCTTGTCATTGTCCTTGTTTTATTTGATTTGAAGCCTGAGGTCTCCTCCAAGTGACCCTCTTCTCAAACTATAAAGTTTTGGAGCGCTTTTCTCATGTATATAATGAAAATGAGCCTGTCAGTTAAGTACATAAGTTAAATGTAAATCTGTTAGCACTGTTCAAAAGGCCCTTTCTTGGGGTAACTACTTGACTGTTAGAGGCTAAATATGCCATCAGTTTTTGGTGCTGAAAGGCCACATAGACATCTACTAAGAAAGAGTTTGTACCAGGCAGTACAAACTAAAATTGATCACGTAGTTGCTATTGTTTTTTGTTTTCATTAAAACTGTGGGTGTACAAATAATATTTATTGATTAACGATCTGTGGATTTGTAGTCACACTTCAGATAGTTTACCACTGTGTCTTTGATTGGGTGCAGCGGATGACTTTTCTGATAAGACTGGAATGGAGAGTTTTATTCATAGAATTTCAGAGGTTGAACCTACATAGCTAATAAACAAACAAACAAACAATGTTTTCCTTCTCAGAGGGTGTGGGCATTGTGTGTAGGGGGTGATATGGAGGGAAGGTGGGCTCTGGAATACACCTAGACATAAAAGGGGCGGAGTACTAGAAATCCTATATGGCAGAAGGCTGCAAAGAACATAGTCTGATTTCTCCTCATAATGCTTATAATCCTCATTAAATTTATCACAGTCTAAAAAAATCATGTGATTGGATATTTTGTGGTGCAAAAATGGGACAGCTTCATTTCTGAGATAAAACTTGAGGAAATAAGGTTAAATATTAACAGAAATTAGAGAAGAGGATTCTGAACTTCTAAGGCCATGGTATTGTTTAATTCAAAGGTACTTAAAGTTTTAAGGGAGAGTCCCAAATGATTATTAGGCTAAACAAAGTTACTGTTTATGTACTTGCAAACAGTTTCAACCACAAATAGGCATCAGTTTGTAGCTATCATATAGGATGGGTGTTTCTGAATGTAAATTTATATGTTTTCCTATTAGTCCTATGAGATTAAATTGATACTTCAGGGCAGGGATCGATCAGGTTTTCCACTCACAACCCTTCACAGAGCCTTGCGGAGGTCAGGGAAGTTATGATCATTGATTGCAACATCAACTAAGCAACAGCAATTCGAACAAACCTAAATATGGAAGTAGCAAGGTATTAATAAGGGTTGTAGGGCTGGGGATTTAGCTCAGTGGTACTGTGCCTGCCTTGCAAGCCCAAGGTCCTGATCCTCAGTACCAAAAAAAAAAAAAAAAAAAAATGGAAAAACTGAACAAAACAGTTGAAATTTAAAAAGGAGATTGGACATTGTATATTGATATAATGTGTAACATAAATTATTATGATAACTATCTTGATTTTGATTCATACTGTGATGGCATAATACTTTCCGTAAGTAAGATATATTATCCATCAAAACCTCCACAAAGCCATAAAACAAATAAACAACCCCCCAATTCAAAAAATGTATTCCTTATATTGATGGAAAAGGGAAGAATTTTTAACACAAGGCAAGTTTAACTACTGTCTAGTGAAATGTAAACAGAAACTAGGTTAGTTTTCTGAAAAGTATGATCTTTAGATCACCTGTGTTATAATCACATGATGTGTTTGTTGAAATGTATATTTGTAAGCTCCACTGTGAAATGCTAAATCAGAGTTTCTGGGAGAATGCTCAAGCATCTGTATGTTTAATTTGCACATCAGGTAATTCTTATGTATTGAGGTTTGAGATTGCTAGTGAAGTATTCTTATTTCACTTAGTGGTTTCAGAGTTAATGGATATGACCAATATTAGAGAGTGGGAGAAGGATTATCTGTGGGCCATTAGACAGGTAGCATGCTGTGGATCTAAAATGGACTTAGTAAAACAGCCTGGGATTTGACTAGCTATTGCACTGGGCAAGTCACTTTAATTTCTGATCTTTCCTGTAACATACAAAAATAGTACTGTGGTAGGATCATGGTGATGAACAGACATTTTTGCAAAGGACATGTATAGGGTGCTAGTTAAGTCACGGGTATGATTATGTTGAGTTCTGTGACTGGATATTACTGTCCTTAAAATTTTCCATCCTAGGTCCTGGAAGCCCAAAGACCCTACATTTGAAGAAAATATGTTGTACATAGGCCCCCAACCCAGTCTAATCATCATCAATACCATATGGATTGCAAAATATGGATTATAAATACGATCCCACAAAAGATCAGTGGCATTAAAGAGAAGGAAGTAAAATCTGTTTCAGGAACATGGTAGACTTATTCAAATGCTCCACCTAGGCACGATTGCAAAGGAAAAGTGTAACTTCCTGAAGAGCAAAAACACATCCTTTTGACTAAATGCTGCAGATAACAAAGAAACTAAAATTATAGCTGCAAGCAAGTAGAAGAGAAACATGAAGTTTTTGTTGTGAATGTGATTAAATCTCAGAAAAGTATGACAAGAAGACTTAAAGTGAGAGGAAAACAAAATTATATGTGATTTTCGTAAATGTTCAGTGTCCCTGTAGCACATTGTTACAATAATGTATTGGTTCTATTAGGAAATAGCTGTTTCAGGCATTAGAGTCAGATGAAGCCAGAAATCAACTTATGGTTGAACTATAACATAATTGCAAAGAATTTAAGGAAAAGTGCATTCAATTATTTTTCTTCTCAAAATTTGAAAATAGATATCTGTATGATTATTAAGGATAGATTTTAATATTTTCAGCTTTTAAAAATTGATAGGGGAGGCAGTATCTGTGTAAGAGGCTATCAGGTAAATAATTGTTTAGTTTATTAGGTGGTTATAACTCTAATGTTGAACCACTAGCAAAGAAATATTCTGCTAGTGGTTAAATCAGGGCAGCAAGCAATTAGCAAGAAAGGAAGGCTTCCTTATAAATCAGTTGGTGTTTTTTTGGTTTTTAATAATGTCTTCTAGGGAATAGATTTAACAGCATTTCTTGAGAAGTTTTATAATGTCGTTTCTGTCCAATACCACGATTGATTTTTAGTTTAAACCCCAGCTTGGAAGTCTCTTTTCAGAAACAAAACAAGCAAGGAACATCTTTTTCCTATTTAAAACAAGGGAGTAAATCATTAGAGCAAAAAAGAAAGAAAACTATGGAACCACAGAACTCAATGGGGAAGTCATGCCTAAGTTTATGCCAATCTATAGAACCTTATTGAACAAAGCCAGAAATTCTTTAGGAGTCAGTTCATGAGGATTTTATTGTTTGTACTGTTTACACCAGTTAGCTATAGACAGTCTTATGTGCATAGATTTCTACTGGAGAAGATAAGGGGAGGTCATCCAAACTAGAATCCTTAAGACTCATTAGCCTAGATGAAAACCATGCATTTGACTTTACCTATCCAAAGTTTTCCATCAGTTGCTAGGGATCAGATCTTCAGTCAACATGTTGTCCACATTATTAAGTACATGGGTCCTAAACATTGTACGACAAGGTAGAAAGCCAGTGATGAGCTGAATTATAGACTATGACCTCACAGAGCTTATTGTCTAAGGAACTAGGATCCCATATATTCTTTGTGCATGCACTTGCAAGTTGTCTTAGTTACTTTCTCCTCATTGCGATAAAATACTTGACATCCACAGTTTAAAGAGGAAAGGTTATTTTGGCTTATATTTTCAGTTCATGACCAGCTGTCTCCAAGGCAGGAACAGCCTGCTGGAAGCCTGGGTGGAAGAAAGCTGCTTACATCATGGTAGGGAGGAAGCAGACAGTGAAGGGTGGCACCATTAAGGAGATATGCCTTTCCATCTCACTAACTGATTCCTCCAATGAGGCCTTACCTCCTAACAGCACATCAACGAAGAGCGCATCAGTAGACCACTCTACCAATGGGTATAGCCTCCCCTTGATCCAGTTAACTTCTAAACACATTGGACTTTGAGGGGTACAATTCACATCTAACACATAACACAGGTGCACATGTGAGTTTCATATATTCTATACTATGTATTGTTGCCTTATGGAATAATTTATCCTTTCATTTTCTATTGATTATTCTATTGTATTCTTCAATAAACTCCTCTAGTACCATCTTATTGAGAGAGAGTAGTAGAAGCAGTCTTACCTGTTAGTTCTGTGTAAATGGAAGAACAGTCAGAACAGTTTTAAAGTCAGGCTCTCTGTTATATCCTCTGAAGAATGTGACCTAAACAAGGTTAACCTGAAGTTAGAAGTATTACATATTTTAAACAAAGGCATATTACTCCTTTATTATAGGAGAAAATCATTATGAAAGGTTGTATAGAAAGATGATGATAAATGTAATAGGAAAAACAATTATTAACCTGTTTTTAAGAGAATTTAAGAAATAACCCAAGCCTTCTTTTATGGGAGAAACCATTTTTTATCATATAGTGTAGTATTATCATTTGGACACAATTCTTTGGTAAGAAATAATTCTTCATGAAGACACTGGCCATAGTGACATTTGCACTGTACTTGCATTTTTTTGTAGTTTAATCGACAACTTCAGAAAAATGAATAAAGGATAAAGTTATGATCCCATTTGGTTCCTTTACTGAAACACTGTCAGTCATTTTCCCCACCACTGGGACAAAATATTCAATATCCACTACTTAAAGAAGGTTTATTTTGGTTTACAGTTTCAGTCTATGGGAGCAGGGGGTGAGAGAGAGAGAGAGAGAAAGAGAGAGATAGAAGTGAGGAGTGGTGTGGCTTTTGGGGGGATATTTTGGAAATTTTAGATTTGTAACATTCCAACCTTGGTCCATCTCACTATCTAGAATATATTTAGTCAATGAGTTGCCAAAGTCTGCATGGCTAAAAAGTAAACATCTAAAGTGTCTTTTGTGACCCAAGGCAAACTCTTAGCTGTGAACCCCTATAAATATCAAAAGAAAGTTAAATAGTTACAACATACAATAGCACAAGGTAAACATTCCCATTCTAAAAGGGAGAAATAGGGGAACATAAAAAAATGGGACCCCAAAAGTTCAAAACCCAATAGCAAATGTTAAATCATGTAATTCCATATCCAGCACCAGAGGCGAGCTGTTGGTGACATGTGAGCTCTAAAGGGTTTGGGTGAGTTGCCTGTAGAGCATTGCTGGTTGCAGCCTTCATGGCCTCACTCTTAGGATGGCTCCACTCAATTCCTTCGGCTTTTCTCGGCAGAAGATGCATATTCCTGGCATCTATAACTCTGGGTTAGGGTTAGGTTTTCCAGAGGTCTCCACTGTACTTTTGCTTCACTCACATATCTTCACACATGCTCTCTCAAGGACATTCTTCCTGGCCTCCCAGGCCTTTTTCTGAAATCTGGTAGGAAGACGTATAACTCTTACATGCTGCTTACCTATAAAACCAGCACCAAATAATGTTAAGGTCTGCTGCCAGCTTGAACAATAGCCGGGCCCCCATTGGACCGTGGCTCCAGAGTGCCTCTGAGAGCCTGATGGTTGTGTACTATGAAATGAATCTTGGAACCAATTCCCTAGGTTGCCCTTTTGTGGTAGATGTTCCAAGGGTTCTCTTCTCAAATGAAAATCTTGTAATTTTGTACCTTTAAGCGTGTGAAAAGGTGATGTCCTTTGGATTCCTCAAATGCCCTCTAGGCGTTTCTTCTGTCACCCTGATGCAAAATGCTTGGCATTTCTAAAAATGTTAAACTTGCCCCAAACCATGCTTCTCTTTGTTCTAATTTTATAGGTATTCCCTTTCTGATGAAATTCCAAACTTTTAAAGTCTTTGAGCTCTACCATTTGCTCCTGATTCTTGCTGTAGATATGACAAAGGCATCCAGTAGTACTCACGCCAGCAACAGCCTGGATGTTGGGATGCTTTGAAAATTTATCTGCCAGATTAATTAGTCTAACACCGTTAATCTCAGGCTCCTACAAAGTTGAGGACATGGCAAAGATATAGATGCATTCTCTGCCAGAGCATAAAACACGTGGCCTTGAGTTCAATTGCCAGTGGAATCCTCATTCCTAACTGAAATCACCTTTACTATCTGCATATCTGTCAGCATTCTGGTCTTCTGAGTTTTGACCAGACTCTCCCATCAAACGTGGCCTACCGCATTCTGTGCCTTCTTCCATGGACATCTCCCAACCTTTCGAAGCTCCTCTCTCAAAAAAGTTCTAAAGGCTTCTAAATCTTATAATAAGGTACAGTCATAGCAGTAACCCCATTTCTCTGGTACCAAAATCTGTCTCAGTCAGTTCTCTATTGCTGGGACAAAATACTCGACATGTGTAACTCAAAGTAGGACAGGTTTATTTTGGCTCACAATTTCAGTCCATGGTCAGCTGGCTCCACGTAGAAACAGAATTACGAAGGGGTATGGTAGAGGAAAAGTTGCTCCACCCATGGCAGCTGGGTGCCACACCTAGTGTGAAGTCCTTTCCAGTTGGGCAAGGTGGACTCAAATCAAGAGCCTTGATGGTCCCTCTGTAGTACTTAGTATCTTAACTGAGTAGTTGTGGTCACCCTTTTAAGTCTTCCACCTGACACAGAGTGAGCAAGGGACAGAAAGAGGGATCTTGATTATTAAAAGACTTTTACAAAACTTCAATTTTTTTCTTTGAATTCATACATATGGAGTAACATATGAGAGCAGCACCTCAAACTGTTTTCCAGAATTAGTAATTGCTGAGCAACAAAGCAGTCCCCAAATGCTCAGAAGAGCCTCTTTATAGCTTACAATTAATGCATCTACTCTGACAGTCACTTTCAGAAATAGGAAAAAGGGCTAATTTTAAATAGTGAATACACCCTCATTTGTCATAAACCAAAGCTAAGCTTTTCAAAGCTGCTTTTCATCTTTTGTCTTCAGCTAAATAACTTCTAAACAAGGGAAATCTCTTATTAGTTATGATGTGACTGCAGCACAAGTGTTAGCCTTTCTAAACACTCCAATCCAATTTCTTTCCTTTCTTTTAAATACTAAGAATGAGGTCATAAATTAGAAAATGCGTAGATTTTTCTGCCACAATCCCATATGTTAGGTCTGACAGAATAATGTCAGCTAGTTGAATCTACTTGCAATGCATTAGGATTTATTAAAGGAAACTGTAGTGCATCTGTATAAAAGGAGAGCCAGGCACATATAATACAGTCAGAGTTTATGGTGATTTAGAGGTAATATACAGTACATTTTTTCTTTTCTAAGTTATTTTATGGCATTTTTGAAAATCTCAAAAATTATAAACTATGAAATGTAATTTTTTTCTCTAAATATAAATTTGGTATTCTTTCACTATCTAAAAGGCATTGCTGTAAAAATTTGGCAGGTATGCATATCTTCACTGTAGCAGCATGTTTCATAATGAAGAAACAAATTATAAGTAAATTTATTTACTGTATAGCTAGAGGTGCTTCTTTCTGATGTAAATTGCCCTTTAAAATAGTGTAATCTTGGTGCTTTCGGTCTTACATAGCAAAATACTACTGGAAAAAGTTCATATTGATGGTAGATTTAATTCAAACTGAAATGAAATAAAAATGACTAAGTGGCTAAATAATAGAGGTAATTTTAAAATTTTACTAAGAATAATTACAAAAACCTCTGATATTGCAAAAGTTGTTCCCTCACAATGGCTATTTAGAGCATGCTTCAAGTATATCAAATAAATGTGAACGTATTTATTACTTTCTATTAAAAAAATATTTGAGGGCAGGGGATTTAGCTCAGTGGTGCCACTGCCTGCCTTGCAAATGCAAGGTCTCCAGTTTGATCCCTGGTACAAAAAAAAAAAAAAAAAAAAAAATTTTTG